GATCATGACGCCCTTGTTCGTCGACATGAACTGCCACATGCGCTGGTAAATCGACTGGTTGGATTTCTGCAACCAGAAGAACAATAAAATGTGCATTCACCTACCACCACGACCTGAACTCAAGTGAAAATGCCACAGGCTATCCAGGCATTGTCTGCAGTGCCTTCAACAAGCAGTTTTTGACGAACATACCTAATTTAATGTAAATAAGCCAATTAGTCCTTCAGGCGTCGTGATTTCGACGACTATGATTCTCAAAGTCGAGTGAAGGTTTCCACAACTACGACAGGATTTTTGAGATTTTAACCTCAGTTTTCTTTTCTACACATTCATGCCTCAAGCTGTGGTTGAGTTTTACACTAATTCCTCCACATAGACTTGAATATCGATGCAATCGAAATTTTTTTCGAAGTACTAAAATGGCAGCATCTTGAAGCTGACATAATCCCAAAGCATTGCATTTTATTATCGAAAAATGACGATTTGTTCGTTGCAACGAGACCACAGTGAGCACCAGACAAGATTGTGAGCATTTAGGCTAATTAAAGGTCTGCGTTTTTCAAAAAATTGCAAGCTCTTCTTAGGAATCAACTTGCTAAAAACAAGGGCAACTAGAGGAACAAGTTGGCATCTAAAAAGGACTACTGCTTTGGTTGATTTTCTTTTTTATCAACGTTTCTCATCCAGACAAATTCTAGTCACTAGCCGTTAACTAATGTGAGGTAGACGCGTAATTTTTGACTGCGGACTTGGTCAAATTCGTCTTAGATCCAACGGATGCGCGCACTATGCAAATCAGCTCCTGTGTTTACTGAAATCGAGTGGATGGGTATGGATGTTTCTACAGGATTTTGAGTTGCGCAATGATTTATCCACTCTCAACTCCAGAAAGTATAATATACCACCAATTCGTAGACCGCCCAATCACGGTTAAATTAGTGAGCAGTACATTCAAATTGTGAAGACCATTTCCCAAAACCTACGCGTAGATCATTTAAGATAACGCATCAATTCATGCGGTTGAAATGCTTGCGTTGTAAGTAATCTCACACGCATTTTAAACAACTTCGAATTTTTCACCGTTGTTGAGATACAGTTTGCAAATTTTGCCTTTTGCAGGCTAGATTCAGTAATTTTATCAGTGCGTGTGTTCATGTGACCCAAATTTCTTTCAAATTCACACGTGCCTACAATTGCAGGTTGCATTTTTTGAGTATATGGAAATGAATATGCCAGCTAGTTGGTTTTTTCAACAGTTACTCAAATATCTCGGTTCAAGCCGTGTATTTAAATGTTTCCGGAAACATTAAAGCAAAAATAAACTGACAAACTCGTGGTTATCGTCTTTAACACGAGCAGAAGCTGGTGAAGGTGGTATCTAGAGCCTTCACGTGAAAGTTTTGAAGTCATAGATTTGGTGAAGCCATCAAATCTGTTGTCTGAGATTTAAACAAAAGCAGATGTGCACGACTACACCCAGAAAAACGATTTTTTAAACTCCCGGACTCACAGTCATGACGACAATGGTACACCAAAGGAGAATACACATTTTGTTGCCGATCGTGCGTGCTTCAAGCGTGCAGATTCGAGAGCCAATCGTATATGCACAATTTATTGATTACTTCTAGGCGCGCACGTTAATTTGCACGCGAAGCGAATTGATCAGCAAAGAAATTAACAGACGTCTGTTTTAGTCACAATTACTCACAGCAAAAAAATCGGCCGATGAGCCACCACCTCGAGTGCCGTACTTAATTTTGGTCTGCTTCGCAAGATCGTTGACATCTTTGATTGGCGCCTGCATTCTCTCGACCGTGAGAAATGCGGCCAGGTTGGCGGTGTAGGAGGAGATTATGATGAGCGCAAAGGAACCCCAGAATCCGGCGATTATCCTGGTCGACGTGGCTTTTGGGAGGATGTCGGAGCCTTGAATGATAAAACGCAAGTGTGGTAAAAGCAAGTTGGCCCACATGAACACTGGCGAGTGGTTAGTGCGTTTACGGATTATTCTAACACCTCAGGGGAGTTCGAAGGACTGTCAATTACAAATAATCGAATTTCTGTTAGTTTATGACTGTGGATGTTCACTTAAGATAACGAACAGATAAAGAAACCAATGTCTGTTCCAGTAGAAGGCTGTAAGTTAGAGAACAGACTCTGCACAAACTTCCCTGTTCCTGAATGACGTTCACGCACGAGATTATGCAAAACTTTGAGTGAAAACAAATGCAGATAACAGCGAACGCATTGGGTAAGAAAGCCAAAATAATGCGCCTTTTCCTCCCATGTAGACCCTCACCTCACTTTTGTTTTCGTGTTTGCTAAAGCTGAACACCCATTAAGGGTGACTCATTCCCCGTTCCCTCTCCTTCATTCACCACTCATGTTACGACGAAGAGGCAAGAAGAGGTGGTTTGAAGACCGTTTTGATTTAGGCTC